ACCTTCAGGCCTAGTTCACTACACACTGTAAAAAAAAATCTGTAAAAATACTGTGAACATGTAAATAGTTTTACAGAGTAAGCTGTAAAGTCAACGGTTTTACTAAGCACTACCAAAAACATGCATGTTAGTCTGATTCAGGCACAGGCCTCCCTTGCAGAAGAGATCTGTGATGTCTGGTTAAATAAAGGTTAAATGTATTAAAGGAGCTCGGCAGAGAGGACAGACTTTAGATGTTCCTCTGAAGAGTTCCATGATCTCCAGACCCTTCTGTTTGTTTCCCTTCAGATCCAGAACCCCTCCTGGATCGGCGGCAGCAGTGCAGCGTCTCCTGTTCCAGGCTGTGTGGTGCCTTGTGACACAATGACTCCCTGTATGACCCCTCACCCCCACTCCGCCAGCGGCGTCTCTGACTTCTTGGGCGTTCCGAGTCCCGGGGGTCACGTTGGACAGCCCCACATGGGCAGCCTGTTCGGAGGGTCTCCTGGCATGGCCGGGGGCATCAACACGTACGACCTCAACATGGACCCTGACCGCAAGTCGTCCAGCATCGCAGCTTTGCGCATGAAAGCCAAGGAGCACAGCGCTGCCATTTCTTGGGCAACATGATGTGCTGCATGTTGGATGGGGGAACCTCGTGGAGACCCAACGAGGATGGAGGGGCACTAAAATCAAAAACTGCACAGGAAACAGTGACTACCATCAAAAAGGATGCAATGAAACGAGCAGGCAATAAGATGTTGCAAAGAACGTGATGCCATATTTCAGTGCCTGTTGGAAATAAATAACTATGAAGGCAAAATGAAGACAAGCAAACAAGATGCTCCAAACAGTTTTACAGAATAACACATGCACCTATTGGCTCATTACAGGAACAGTTGTTACAGTGAGGGTTTGGTGCTGTTTTACTCTACTTTATTTAAAAGTCAATGTATTTTTTCTCTGATTTTACAAATAGTCCAGTCTACATTCTTAAGAAAATTTGAATTCAGATTTTGCCATTTTATGCCAAACATCTATTTTTAATTTTACTGCAGTCTCATTCAGAATTGACATAAGTTGAGCTGTATGATTTTTTTTTTATCAATGTTTTGCTGGTGCAAAAATGAAAGCCTCAAGAAGCATCATGATATGAATCTTCTCACATTTGCTCAAAAGGTTCAAATAATCAAAAGTAATTCTGCTTTCTTGCCCTAAAAATCCAGAGGGATGAAGTGCAGTTTGCTGTTGATCAAACTGACGGATGCACCCGCTGCACAAACTCATCCTGCTCCAGATACGAAGGACAAACACACTCGTCCCGGATAATTATTTTATTTTAATGAACTGTGGCCCTGCACGTGTCCTCCAGGCTTCAGTGACTGAAGTGCCCAGACTGTTAACGAGCAGACGCTTCATTCTGAAACAGCTGGATTAGGTCGACACTTTAAACATGAACAGGTTGTTTTCTTTCCTGAACATTACCATATTTTCCAGCGTATAAGTCACAGTTGTTTTTCATAGATTTGTCAGTCCTGCGACTTATATACATTTTTTCCATATTCATAACATTTTTTAATGACGCTTTAAATTTCTAAGAACTGCAACAGCGAGTCCTCCCATGCGCACTCGCTTCACTCAGCTGGTGCACGCGGAGGAACGCTGGAGAGCCAGCAGCTCCAGCACGATGGATGGATGGACGGATGGATGGACGGATGGATGGATGGATGGGTGGATGGAAGGGTGGATGGATGGATTTATGGATGGATGGATGGAT